GTTTCTGAGGAGCAGCTGGTGAGCTTGAACAGCCAGCCTTGCAGTTCAAACGGCTTTGCAGTCTGGCGCATTAACCCACAGTGCCACACCAGGACACCAATTAGGAGGCTAAAAGTCCAAGTTCAGGCGCCTGCCCTAGTAGAAGGCTTTCTCGCTCTCTGTTAGCTCTGGAGGAAAGCCCTGCCTCTCTTCAGCGTCTTTGCCTTGGCTCCTTGGCAGTCTTCATTTGGCATGTGCTTGCCTCTCTCTACCTAAACTACCCTTCATATCTCAAAGCTGGTTGGTTTAAGACATAACCTACACTGATATGGTCCCAACAAACAGCCCTAATCCCAAATATGATTACATCCACAAATTTACAGTTTAGGATTTGTAAGACACATTTGTGGGGAGGGCACACTCCAATCCATAAAAAGAAACTAAAGTGACATGAAAAATGAAGGTACGCACGCTCCTGGGTTTCCTTTTGCTATGTTGTTGTGTTCCACTGAATTGATTCAGATTCCTGAGGAAAGTCTAAGATTGAGTGCTCCATGGGGTTTCCAAGGCTGTACTTTTAAAGGAAGCCCACCGCCACAGCTTTTTCCCTGGGAGCACCTGCTGGGCTCAGACTCCTGACCTTCTAGTTGGCAGCTGAGCAGTTAACCAGTGTGCTACACACACCGAGCACTAAATTAATGTTCACTGATGGATTCGGTAGTCCATTTCTCATGGCGAATAAACAGGTTTGCATAGGGGGTCTATGAAACATAACTCAATCAAGTAGGAAGCAGGAGAAGTTTTATAATAAATAAAGTTTTATTTTTTTCCCTCTCACATAGTTCAAGAAAACCATACATTAGTGTAAGTTAAAAGGACATCTCTGAGTTTGGAAATAAGGCTTTCATCCATATAGACTGGTGACTGGAAAATCAGAAACCGACATTCAACTAATATAAAGTGTTGTTAGACAGTGATAATAGGTATTTAGCATCAAAAAAGGCACCAAGGCTTTAAAAAAAAAAAAAAAAGTGAGACATAATAGATTCCCAATGAAGAGTTTCCCAAATATCTGACAATATCACTGTACTGTGCTCTACTTTGCCTAGAACCTCTCTCAGGAACGGAGTTTTACACACACACACACACACACACACAAGGAAAAACAAAGATCACTTTAAGAAAAACTGCATTAGACCAAAATAGTTAAATCACTTGTACTCAAAAGGCCAACTTTAAAAAAAGGGGGCCTTAATAATGACAAAATAATTCATTTCCTTAGAAAGAAGATGGAGATGTAGTCTTAAAAACAACAGCGGAAAATGGAATCTTTCAAGGTGTAAAAGGAGACAAAAGCTAACTTGAATGGCCTCGTTCAAACATACTCAAGTTTTCTCACAACTATGATGTCTGGAGACATTTCAGAGCAGCGTTTCTCAAGCAGGGAGAAGGGGTGCACCCCAACAGATATCTGCCTCCCCTTGGTGGTCTCTTTAGAGATTGGCACCCTGGGGAGTAGCTGCTAAAAGTGGCAGTGTGTCGCATTTTCTCCTAGGTATATTGAGACACTGAAAAAAACAAACTCGCGAACCACTGACTTAATAGACAGTTTACTAGTGAGGTCTTCAAATAACCCACTTTAGACTTGGGCCAAACTATATTCACATTAGACATTTGATGTCTAATAGTTAATACTTAATATATTTGAACCCATTCTCACTACACATGAAATGCTTCCAGATTAGTGTCCTGCAAACTTTTAAACATTGAACTTGTGGGCATTTTCCCAAAGTGGACCACAGGGCTGAAGCTTACCAACCTCATAAAAAACACTTTGAAATGCTTGTTCATCTTCTGTTGATTTGGCATTTTATTTCAGTCATTAGCCCAATGAAAAGGCAATGAGCAAAGGTGAGATACTCTAAATGTCCTTGAAATTAATCATCCATTGTCTCTCAACTACTTATGCGCAAAGTGAGAACATTATTTTTACTCTGTTGAAGCAGGAGAATTTTATAGTCATTATGTCTTTGGCCTTGTAGAAAAGGGGATTTTAACCTGGTACCTTTTTCACCATAAAACTATAGTTACAGATCGTGCTGCTGTAGAATTCCACTAACGGTGCCAGATTGTTGCCAAAAAAAAATTTTTTTTTTTTTGGTACTGCAGCTTGCAATTAATGGACCTCAAATTTACCAGCCCATATAGTTTTATTTTATCAGTCTGCTTTTCCCAGAGAAAGTAAGCAGACACTAAAACTAATGAACTCATATTTCTTGACCATTGTCATCTGATATAAATTGTTACTTGTCCTTGGAGGACTATACAATGAACTATTTACAAGGCTGTTCCAGGATCTGGGGTGGTAATCATAGAAGCAGTATTCCAAGATTTGGGGGTGTTCCTGAACCAGCACAACAGAGCCTGCATTGTGAAGGGAGGGTCTCGTAAGTGATAAACAAGTGCAGATGGCAGGGGGGGGTCTCTCTTTAGAACGGTTTGCCTCAGCATTTCTGTACTCCTCGAAACCCCCATAAAATACTGACACTTTAATTGGTAATGCAACAGATGAGAAAATGCACAAAGCTTCTGAACATAAATCGGAGGATACGCTCTTGGGTGTTGCGTTGCTGTAACAAAGTACATGAATCAAAGCAATGCTGATAGGCCCAATGAATGCCTTCTGGAAGGCACAGCATGGCAAGTCTGGGTCCTGGCTCGCCTACATTTAAACCACGTGGTCCAGTGCAGATTTCTCTAAGAGTCGATATACATTTCAACCTTCTGAAGTGGAACCTCCTGGCTTGACTGGCTCACGAATCTCTGTCTCAGTGAATCGCCAGGTGTATCTTATTCACCTTAACGCTTGAGAATCACTCCATTTGACCATCTGTCTGGCAAAATCTTTAGCATCCTCTGCACACGAATGTGAAATTTGGTGGCATAGCTGAACTGCTGAAAACATTCTCAGATATGGCACTTTTTCATTGGCTAGAAAGGTGGCAGTTGAGCACAACCTTTAAACCGCCCTTCCCTGCCCACCTGCCCTCACGATGACCTCACAAGCCTTAAAGGGTGTTTTTCAAAGGTGTTTTCAAAGATTTGGGTAGTGCGTTTTTAAAGGTTGCTTTGTTTTTGTTTTTTTCCTCAGCATTTAACTATCTTTATTTTCATAATAAAACGATTTTTGTGTTTTGTTTTCAAAAGTATGTTTGAGAAAGGCACAGTAGATACAATGTTGTAACTATAGTCTCACCTGAAAACTTAGATTCATATTAATGGCTAATTGGTAGTTTAATTTACACCACCCAGAATCTGGTCTAGATATATGTGTACTGTCAGGCACAGGAAGATAAAAAGAGTCTGGAGAAGTGAGTTCCTCCCGTGCCTCAGTGACAAACAATGAAGGCTCGCGGTATGATGTACAGCACAGCTCCTGGCCCAGGGTGGCGTCTGCAGCTCACAGCTGAATTCCACGGTGGAATCAAGTGGAGAACTTAGGAGATACTGGGTTTGCTTTGTGTTCCAGTTCTTTCCGTAGCTGGGCCTGTTGTTCCTCCCATTGCCTGACCTAAAATTGATGGATTTTCTAGGCTTGCTCCTCAGCCATTTTCTTCTCCAGCTCCTGGTGTCTCTTCTCAGTGCCCAGCTGAAATGGTTCCTGAACTAGAGAACCAGAAGGCCTTCCGCAACTGTTTTTTCTCTCCTTCTTGGGCTCCAAGGGATCTTGGGAGATGACACTGTTTGGATGAACCTTGAAGCAAGCTGCTTTTTTCTGTTGTTTCACTTCTCCCTCCAGCTGATGCTTCCAAGTCTAAATCTTCAGAGCACCTCTCTTGTAAGTCTCCACAGTTTTCACCACAGGTTAGTGGTGTCGAAATGGGGCAAAGGAAGTGCCTTGACCGTGAGTATCTCCCCTTTCTGCAGTTATTTTCTTGTCCTTCAGTAGTTGACATTCTTTGTCCGAGAATCAAAGGAGAAAGGCCCATTTTAAAGAGAAATGGTCATCTACATGACTGTTTCCTTTTCCATATTGCAGCATGGTTGAAAATAGTTATACTCTGCCTCATTACCACCCTAGACCTTCTCGCCAAGTTGATGGATGGAAAAATCCCAAAACTTGTGTGAACAAAAAAAATTATGCTCTGTCTCTGATTCAGCTACGTACAGCAGGGCTTTGATGGGGGGAAAATGTTTAAGAGCATCTACACATGAATAGGATTCCTAAGTTTGCTATTTTATAAAATTTTTTTAAAAAGTATAATTTCTGAGTAAATTTATCCTAGAATTTAAGTGTAATTTTTTTTTTGCAAGAATGAATAAATCCCTATTATATATATGAATGGAAACATGTAACATTATATCCATTTATTAACAAGAAGTAGAAAAGTTTTCTGTTTTCAATGGTTGTAAATTTTCCAAAGGTTTCTCTGAATAAAAAAATTTTTTTTTTTTTTTTTAAAGGTGGGGAGATGTTCTCCTATTTATTCCTTTCACTGAGGTGAGGGTGTGAAGAAGACCCCTTCCCAAAGCAGATATCTTTATCCTAGAATATTTCCCACAGACACCACTTCCTCTCTCCCAGGTCTTCCCAGTGACAATGCTCATCTTCTTCCCACAGTAGTTGGCAAATCACCACCGAAGCTCGTGGGAGAAACCCTGTCACGTGCAATTCCCCAAATAGACCAAACCCCAAAGAGTAATGCCAAGCTACAGCGCGCTGTACTCCACCCAGATGTGTTTACATAAAATCGGACAAACGTGTTTTAAGTGAATTTAAAATCTTATGAAACATTGAGTTCCTCAAGAACTTATTCAAACCCTTACTCCCCTATGAAAATCACACACAAAATCAGTGCACATTTAGAAAACTTGCCCCACTTAAATACCTCTTGAACATGGGCCCACCCACAAGAGCCAAGATACCAATTGTTAATATTTTAGGCCATTGTATCAAGTACTGTAGTCTAGGATGTTGCATTTTAATGTTGGCGCCTGGCATGAAAAGCTTATGGTCTGAATCACGTCTCTTTTTTATGTAGTTCTGGCTCGGGAATCCGATACAGAGCAGCTGAGAAATAAAGGATGTTGCTGAGGCTGAAGGTGAGACACAGAAGCATGGCCCCAGTGATCTGGAGGAGAGAGAGGGACCTGGAGGAGGCCATGAGCCAGTCCTTCCTCAGGGTCTTGTCCAGAAGTATAGCTTCCATCTGCAAGTGCGTGGCCAGGATCACACACACGTGGAACAGCTGGTGACTGTGGCCTGTGACAAACAGAAGGCCACCAGGTCAGCCATAGGAACACGCTAGGCAACAGAAATCAAGTATAAGACCACATATTGGATGATTCCATTTGTGTCAAGTGCCCAGAATAGGCAATCCATAGAGACCCTAAAGCAGAGGAATGGTTACCTTGGGGAGGGGTGGGAAGAGGTCATCAGGGGTCTTACTGCGCTGATGAAATCCTAAGACTGACTTAGGGTGATGGCACACAATTTGGTAAGTGTACTGAAAACAAAAAGCAAACCACTGAATTGCATTTGAAATGGGAGAATTTTATGTTAAATATGCCTCAAAAAGTTACTTAGAAAAATTGGAATGTGAGCAAACTCAAAATTGTAAAAATAGATTGGGCTACTGGTCAGAAAGACAGTGTAAAGAGTTCAAAACTCAGGCCCTCAGCCACAGTTCAGGTCTGGAGCAGAACTTACCCTCGGGGCCCCATTTTCTGTCAAGGAGTAGATAGGTATGTAGGGGGGACAAGAACACATGTGACCTCTGCTCACCATGGAATAGCCAATCATTCAGATAAAGTTCAGAAAGGTTGGGAAGGAGGGTGGAATGGAAACAGGGATCACAGGGAGGAAGTGGAAGAACTTGTTACATGGAGGTGATTGCAGTCCGAGATAAAGTATGTAACTTGTTGGATGTAAAACTGATGATCTGCTCTGTAAACCTCCACTCAATTCACAATCAGTTTCAAAATAAAATGTGAGGTGAGTAAAATAAAAAGGCCATCAGAGCAAATCAATTTCATTTGAAAGACAATTTATCCGCCAGTCGCATTTTCCAGATGAAAAAGAGACACCGTGTTCTGGCAAAGATCATCCACCCCTTTCTTGAGAGCCAATCCCTGCTTCAGTGCCAAAGGAGAGGCCAGCCTAATTTGCCGCTGGCCACACACTTAACTGCTGGACCTCTCATATACTGCAGGTCTACCACAAAGTTCTTAGGATCGTTTCCTCTCTGATGCCATGCTGGACTTCAGCTCATCTGGTGACAACCTACAAGGGTGGAAGCCCAGGAGACAGTGGTGGGAGTGGACAAAGAAATGCTGATTTGATGGTTGATGAGAAAAGGAGTCCAGGGCCCAGGAAAGGGGACCACTTTGGAGGACAACTTTACAAAAGTAAGATGAGAAGTCCATTTGGGAATTTACTCAGGATTCTCCTTTGGTTGAAACAACATCAGTGTTAATACCTCCAGGGTCTATCCCTGGGTAAGTACTCAATAAATGAGTCTCCAGAACGAACCAGCCTGGCTGCTTATCCACCAAGGTGTAGAGGCAGAGTCAGAAATAAAGTATAGGAGGGTGGAGATTCTCCAGTGGCTGGGTGTCTGGTGAGTTCCTTACATCAGGAAGCTCCCAGCATATGGGTCTTTACCACCCAGGAAGGTGTGCGTGGAGCCACACATCAGGGACTGCCAAGATTTCCAATCTGTGGGATGTAGCAAAGTGGTTTCTTGTCCAGGGGAGAACTGGGTTCTCTCCAAGCACTGGATGCATTCACCAGTTGAGGCTCACAGCTGCCTCCAGTAGGGCAGGAGATAAAAGAACGGGAAAGGCCATCAATATTGGACGTTTCTGAAATGTAGCTGCAGCAGGAAGACTGATTTCAGCAATCCTGCCGAACAGGAATAAGGAGGGGCTTCCTGTGGGCCGGTGCCAACTGTGCCAGCAATATCCCACCTTCTACAGAGGCACACGGGGCCTTGCCTTGGAGACGGAGTCCCAGGCATAGCAGAAAAATGTTATTAAAAAACTGAAAACTTCTTGTTAATGGCCTGTCTAGTGCTATCTGGCAGATTTTCTCCCAAAGGGGTATTTTTTGCACCTCTTAGCCCCAAGAGAAAGGGCTACAAGTGAGTAAATGAAACATCGTTAAGAAGTTAGAGAGCTGGAACTAAGGCCCAGGACTAGTTTTCCTATACCGCCCACCTCAAGACATCATCCACGGCTACCTCTGTTTAACCAAAGTGGAGCCAGGGTGGTGGATTTGATGAGCTGGTTCGTGTTTCCTCCAACTCCCTGGCCTCTTTGCCTCTTCCCTTTCTGAAATCTGCTTTGTAAGTATCTTGCTACCTGAAGCCCTTGCTGGAAAGAAGACAAAAAACCAAGATGCTGCTAATCAGATCCAATAAGCATAGCTAGTCAGCCACAGTTCTTAGGAGGAGATGCAAAATCATGGGTGAGATGGGTTTGGGGAGAGCCAAGGTTCCGGACCACCAGGTGGGGACAATGACTGACCCTTCAACTCCATTAACAGCTTAGCTCATCAGAAAGATTTGTCAGCATCACCTGAAGTGACCTAAGGGTGCTCTCACAACCATCCCCAGAACCACGGTGGGGAGACATTCTGCAGAGCCGTGCCCCAATCTTCCCTCTATGGGCTGGGAAAGAACTCTACCAGCAGGTGAAAACCTTGCAGCTCCTACATCTCTTGACCACACTACTTTTCAACTTAAGTGAGCTCAGGTTTGCCTGGAGAATCACACAGATGCTGATGGCTGGGCCCAACCAGAGTCTCTGGCTCAAGAGTCAGAGAGTTTGCATGTCTAACAGGTTTCCAGGTGACCCTGCTGCTGCTGGTCAGGGTCTCCACCTGAGAACCACTGCTCTGCCATAACTCCTGGCCTCCTCCCACCAACCGTGAACCAGCCAGACACTCTCCAGATACACTGCTGGACCCTTGCTGTCCAGTGTCCCTAGTGCCCATTTAACATGATTTCAGGTACTAGGTAATAATGGGACCCCCTGCTGGTCTCACACACACACACACACACACACACACACACGTCCCCCCGTTCCCCCCACCCCCACCTCTTCTCTATCTTTCTCCATCCTACCTTGCAGTGCATCAGCTACGGACAAAGAGTCTTCAAAAAATTTGTGGGGAATGGAAGTTAAAGATTCTAGAATTTTCCAGTAAGTATTTGAAGCCCCCTCATACATCTTGGATCTGTCAACTACACTCTCACTTCACCTTGGCCTGGGCCTGGAGAACTTGGGGAAAGACTTTAAACATGTATCTGGGACAGCATCATTGCTGAGAAGTTGCTTCTCTCTTTGCCCTGGCTGGCCACTACAGCTGGCTGTGCTGGTATCAGGGATGAGACCTCCACCCTCAGGTCAAATAGCCCGAGCAGCAAGCAGGGGCACTGCACACTCACCAACGTAGTCAAAGCGTCCAGGAGCCAGGCGCTCCGGCAGGTGTGCGGAGTAGAAGAATGAAGCCAGGAGGGTCATGGCTATATGCTTCTGATGGTACATGCTGGCTTCATTCTGTGCACTCTCCCCTGGGAACAGGAACAGCTGCAGGTGTTTAAAGAAACATCGGGTCTTGAGAGGAGGCCATGCCTTAGGAAGGCCACCTTTCTTCTCACCAGCTGCTGTGAGACCGTGGACTTCTCAGGTCAAGGCCCTCACTTCCGAGGATCTGTGGCTCGTAAGGGGATCTGAGGGACTGTCTGGGCAGAGTTGCTATTTTGAGTGTCTTAGACTGACACTCAGGCAGTTGTATTTTAATTCCCTTGATGCTCATGAGAGCCTTTGGGATTATTTCATTACCAAAAAAAAAAAAAAAAATAGGAAGGGAAATGAAAGATGGAGGGAAGGTAGGGGAAACGGAGAGGAGAGGAGTCCCATTACATGCATCGTCACCCTTACAGTAGAATGCAAATATTGTAAAGGGAGATACGTTAAGCAATTGAACCCCAGGCATTTAATGAAGACCTTAGCAAGCAAGCTGCCAGTTGACTTCATCCTAACCCATGGCTACCCCAATTATGCAGAGTCCAACTGCTCTCTCGGGGTTTTCAAGGCTGTGACCTTTCAGAAGCAGATCACCAGGCTTTTCTTCCAAGGTACCTCTGAGTGGATTTGAACTGCCAACCCTTCAGTGAGTAGCTGAATGCTTAACTTTTTGCACCATCCAAAGCCCTGCTGTGGCACTGTAGGATAAGCACTGGACGGCAAGGTCGGTTTGAAACCCCAAGGTCGGCAGTTCAAACTCACCAGCCGCTCATCAGAAACCCTATACAGGTTTGCTGTGAGTCAGAACCGACTCAATGGCACCTAATAACAAAGCCAGAAAACCAACCCACTGCTGGCAAATCAATTCCAACTCACAGCGACCCTGTAAGACAGCACAACTGCCCCACAAGGCTCCCAAGGCCCTTTACAGAAGGAAGGTGCCACATCTCTCCCGTGGAGTGGCTGGTCGGTTCAAACCACCAACACTTTTGATAAGCAGTCAAGCACTTTAACCACTGTGCACTAGGCTGCCTTCCATAAGGTCGGTGGTTCAAACTCACCAGCTGCTCCTAGGAACCCTATACTGAGTCACTGAGTCGGAACCACCTCAATGGTACTTAACAACAGCAACAGTGAGAGTTTTCTAGTTAAGAGTTTCGGGCCCTAGAATGCCTGTGAGACATCAACAAAAAAGATGAATTACAGCCATTCGACTACTCTGACATTAAGTACAGTTTTTGTCAAAGTATTATTATAAATGACAATAGTAGCTTCCAGTGACTGAGGACACTAAGCCTTGTCCCTTGTTTGCATCATTTCCTTTAAGCTTCAACAACAACCAAAAACCATAAGGCAGATTTTTAAAGCAAACAAAAAACCCATTGCTGTTAAGTTGACCCCAACTCATAGTGGCCATATACAGGACAGAGGAGAACTGCCCCATCAGGTTGGTTTCCGAGGCTGAAATCTTTACAGAAGCAGATTGCCTCATCTGTCTCCTGGAGCAGCTGGGGAGTTCAGACAGGAGCTTAAGCACATGCTTCCAGGGCTCCTAGGCTGACTCTAACATCCCCAATTTGCACATGAGGAAACTGGCCCAAGTGGCTAAGTCCTGATGTGAATCCAGGCCCTCTGGTCCCAGGGTCAGGCCCTCCCCTCCTCACGGCCTGCCCCAGTTTCCTGCAGCTGTGTGCGTAAGGGACCAGCTTGTTCAGCTTGTTCTTTCTGTTGTGGTTTTGTGTGGGTCTTGTTTGCTCCAGGAAGGAGTGTGGGAATGGGCTGCATATCCCGTCTCTGGGTCTCTCCCAGGCCCACAGAGCTGAGGGGGCGGGGGGGGGGGGGTTGCCAACTAGACCTTCCCTTCACTTCTGGGCTTGGCTATCTGGACCTCCTGGGGAAGACCCACAGGGAAGGGAAGGGAACTCTACCCAGAGCGCTAGCTGTGTGCTGGGCACTGCTGAGCACTTCAGGTCTACTATTTTGTTTGTGGCACTGTTGGTTAATGCGCCAGACTGCAAAGCTGTTTGAACTGCAAGGTTGGCGATTCAAGCTCACCAGTTGCTCCTCAGAAATCCTATACAGAGTTGCTATGTGTTGGAACCAACTCATTGACACTTAACAACAACAACAACCCTCTCTAATGGAGTCCTGGTGTGGCACTGTGGGTTAATACGCTGGACTGCAAAGTCAGTTTGAACCACAAGGCCGGCAGTTCAAGCTCACTAGTTACTCCTTGGAAACTCTATACAGGGTCGCTATGGGTCGGAACCAACTAAGCGGCACTTAACAACGACAATAACCTTCTAAGGAGTTCCGGTGGCATAGTGGTTACGAGTCAGACTGCTAACTTCAAGGTCAGCAGGTCAAAGCTACCAGCCGTTCCACAAGAGAAAGACGAGGCTTTTTGCTCCCGTAAAGATTTACAGCTTCAGAAACCCTATACAGGGTTGATATGAGTTTGAAACTGACTCCATGGCACACCACCACCACTCTCTATGAAGGGGGTGGAGAATGTTAGCCTCACTTACAGATGAGGAAACGGTCACACAGCCAGTGCACTGTGGAATCTGGATTTGAGGGCACAGACTTTGCACCCTTCTTGTTTTTCCTCCTACGTCCTCTTCCTTCCTGCTCTCAGTCTGATTCCTGTCTATCCTTTAAGATCCTCAGTCTCACTTTTTCCTTCAATACTCATGGTACATTGTTGTTGTTAAGTGCCATCAAATTGGGTGCGACTCATAGTGACCCTGTATAGGGTTTCCGAGAGCATCAGGTGAGCTTGAACCGCCGACCTTGTGATTATCCTACAGCTCCACACCAGGATCCAAATGGTACAAAAAGGAATAATAATAATGCAGTTATTGGACACATAGACAAGCCAGCAGCTCACATGCTAATTCATTTAATCCTCCTCACATTGGGTGAGAGGAGATGCTAGTTTACAGAGGAAGGCAATCAAGGTATTGAGATGGCAGGTTTCCCATGAACCTGCAGCTAGTATTCGAGTCGCTCCACTAAACCCCAGGCTAGCTCCCTTCCGCAGCCCTCCGGGATTGCACCACAGCCCCTGTTAGCACTGCCTGCAGTGCATCTTGTGCTGTTTGGGGGAGGAAGGCTCTGAGTCCATGGCAGCTCCTGTCCTACAGTGCCCAGCATGGTGCTTCCACCCCCAGGAGCTGCCATGGAATGTAGGAGGCACCTTACCCTGTAGACGATGGGAAAGGAGTCCCAGGCATAGGGGTAAGCAAAGGCGAGGACTCGTAGCATCTTACACAGCCTCGGCTTCTGGAGTTCAAGAAACCTGAATCAAGGAAGGCCAAGGAGAAGAGATGAGAATGAAAAACGTTTCGGGAGATTAAACACACACACTGAATATCCTGTGTGTTACACAATACTCAATGGAAATAACGAAGGGCCGTCAGAATCAACAGAAGGATGAGCAATTTTGCACAACCTCTTGCAGCCGCCAGTTTCCACCAGGCTTTTCCCTTTGTTTTGCCCCTATGGAAGTGACTCAACCCCAGATGTGAAAGATCTCAAGGGATGACATCTCCTGACACTATGGTATGAGTGAAGCCAGGGAGGAGGCTCTGGGCAGAAAGAATCCTCCAAGGCCAAGTTCCTTTAAACAGCCAGAGACCGGGGGCAGGGAGGGGACCCCAACAGCGCAGACACTGGGAAAGGGCTTACTCAAAGACCAAGATGCACTGCTACCACATTCTTAAACAATGTGCGATTATGTGTTTTATTTTGTTTTTACAAAAAAAAAAAAAAAAAACTGCATGACTTTCCTATATAAGCTATGCATGTTATATGTGTGTGCATGTTATTTATGTGGGCATACTCATATATGTGAAAAAAATAAGGTAGTCAGATCCTCCCAGGTGATTCTCAAGGAGAAGCTCCAAGAGTCAACTAGGCATTCGTTCCTTTGAGAAGGTTTTGGAGTGGTTACTACCACCCACCTGCCTGCTGTCCCTGGAAACTGAGTACATGTGACGTCACTCTTTCTCACCACCACCCCCTGCCCATCTCCAGTCCAAAGACAGATGAAGTCAACATTGAAAGGGATGACGCTGAGTGTTTCTAAGAGAGGCAGGTCCTTCCAGATGGGCCATGATAGGTAGAGCGGCACAGATGGACACGAGAGGGGCATGGTAAACAAAGGACAGAGCTGTTCACACAAGACTACAGCCCAAATGTGAGGCTCGGGTAAAGAAGTGCTCTTGCGCAAGGCCAGCTGGGACAGGCTGGTACCCATTTCAAGTCTGTTGTGTACTGCAGGGGGCTGGGAAGTGAGGTCAGTCTCCCAAGTAGCACAGGTGCTGAGACTTTGGGGGCAGGGGGAAGGTTGTTTGAATGCAGATAGACACAGTGGACACACTTGGGCCCCTCTCCCAGCCTCAACCTACAGGTCTGACCCTCATGACCCTTTCCAATAGAGATAGGGTCTGTGCCTCCAGACACCGCTGTCCCCAGACCCTCTTCTCCAGCCCCTAAGCACTAGCCCACTTTTCCCTGGCAGGTTGCTTACATCTGTCCAGTCAGTCCAGACACCTGATTGTAAACCCGAAGATGAACTACAGGCTGTCATCTCCACATCTGGCAGTCTGGAAGTTAGGGGCATGAGCAGAGTCTGGATGCCCCTAGCCCAGCTCAGAAACCTGTGGACGTTCTCCAGGCTGCTGTTGTCCCTCCAGTCCTCAGGGCAACAAGCAGGGACAGACTGATAAGAAGCCACCACTGTGAGCCCTGCCCCAGCCTCTTCAAGCCCACCAGCATGTCTCTCCTTTCCTGACCCTGCTGGACACCAGACAAGCACATGGCAGGCACCAGGTGGAGAAGAAGAAGTTCAAGGAGGAAAAGGAAAAAGGGTCCTCGACTCAGCATCCCCTCAGACAAGAACCACAACCCAGGATAAAGCGCAAACCCCGGGGGAGGGGAGACAGGGCAGCGGGGTGCTGTGATTCAGGTGAGTTAATGTGGACCATTGGGGCTGGATGCATCCAGACTCTGCCACTCCTGATCGGATGACCCTAAAGGTCACTGAGCTTTTGTGTGCCTCTGAATCTGCCTGTGTGCCACAGGGGTAGGGGGTAAGGACTGGATGAGATGAAGATGATAAAAGGCATTCCAATGTGCGCAACACAGAGCCAAGTCCTTACTAAATGGCAGTTAAAAACGTGTGTGTGTTGTGAGGCTCTTATTTTCTCTCTCTCCCCACCTTCTAATTATGGTGGACCAGAAAATAGGAAAAGGAAGGAACTGACAGAATCTCAGGAATTTCACCGAGTCAGGTGAGCTAATATAATAGGAAGCAAAGTTAGGTGTCTGACTCCGTTTCTCACTTATTCCCCGCTTATCAGGCTGTTATTGTTAAATGCAGTAGAGTCGGTTTCGAATCACAGCAACCCTGTTTCCAAGGAGCAGCTGGTGAGTTTGAACTGCCGACCTTGTGGTTCGCAGTCCAGTGCCGATCCACAGCGCCACACCTGAAATCCTGAGTAGGCCTCAAATCACCACCTGCATCCTATGCAGAGAGCATGACCTCAGAGCACACTCCCCTCACGCCCAAGCACCGCCTGCTCTGCCTTCTGATCTAAGCGGCAGACTCTGCCCGTTTGCAGCAGGCCCTCTGAAAGCATGCTTCTTCTGTGACCACTTACACTCGAAGAAGGCTGGCTCTGGCTGCTGAGGGCCATTCCCCAAACCATGGATTTCCTGAGACTGGAGACAGCCTTGCGCCCGGCCTGATTAAGTGCTTCCCCCGGGAATAAACGGACCGGCCTCTCCAACTGCAAAGCCGAGTCTACAGGGGAAAAAGGAGAAAAAGCAGACCAGGAGAGAGATAGCAACAGAGGAGGGAAAAGGCAGAGGCCAGCCAGCAGCCAGAGTGAGGGGCCTCCCACGACTGAGATGCAATCCCGCATCCGGCCACTAGGTACCGCCACAGCCAGAGATGGGGCCAGAGACGCCTCCACAGCAGCACACCTGCTACCTCCTCCACTGCCCTGAAGTCTCCAAAGTCCCCTGCTATGGCAGTCCCTGCAGCCCCACACGAGGAGCTAGTTTTGGGGATTCAAGCTTCCTCTGCCCAGAAAGAGACTGTAAGGTAACACTGAAAGGAATCCCCTCCATTCAGAGGGTTGAGTCCATACTGTTGTTGTGTGCCGTTTCCAACTCAAAGCAATCCTGTATAGGGTTTCCAAGAGTAGCTGGTGGGTTTGAACTGCCAACCTTGCAGTTACCAGTCCCGTGCTTATACAGCGCCACAGCAAGGCTGTTGTCCATACTTGTTAAGTGTTGTTGAGTCGGTTCCGACTCTTAGCGGCCCTGTATAGGGTTTTCAAGGAGCCGCTGGTGGGTTTGAACTACCGACCTTGAGGTTAACAGTCCAGTGCTTATCATACCATGACACTAGGACTCCATACTAGTTAAAACTTGGCAAATCTTGTTGCAACTGGAATTCTGTAACTAGTGCTTAAAGCTGGTGGTCTTTGGCTGTGACTGATAAATCTCCATTGTAGAGAGCTGAAGGCGAGGGGCTGGGGAAGGTGGTGCTGTTTGGGAGAACTGTAGAATTCTACAATTGTAGAAACATGGTTATTTCAATGTACCCCCCACAGCTCAGACATTAGCAGCACTTTGCCATTGGACTGAACTCTCCAACCTCAAGATCTGTTCTAGAACCATCATCTACACCCAGCTCTGACCTCAACCAAGTCTCCGTGCCCTCCCACCGAAGTGCCACACACCATCTACCAGCACAGTTAGCTTCCTACTGGGGAAGAACATCCACCTCTCCCTCACAGCACTACCCACAAGGCATTTCACTTGGCCAGTATTTGTCAAAAGAATCAGTGGTCCAACGCCTTGGATGGATGAGCAAAAAAAAGTGAGTACAGGGAAACTCTTCTTAAGGGGGTGAAGACTCCTTTCTGGGCTCCTGTGGGCAGCGTTGAGCAGGCTGGGGTCTCCTTTACCCCACCTTGTTCCAAGCACCACAGAGAGGTCACATAGTCTCTCAAGAGGGTAATCTTCTAAAGCATATTCATTTGAATGAAATTCCATGATACCAAACACCAAGTTGCCATGAAGTTGATTCAGACTCATAGTGACCCCATGTGGTACAGTGTAGAACTGTTCCATAGGGTTTCTCTTGACTATAATCTTCAAGGACATAGACAGCCCAGTTCTTTCTTCCATAGTAGGTGGCACTGTGAGATCAGCACTGGACTGCTAAATGAAAGGTCAGCTGTTCAAACCCACCCCTATTCCGAGAGAGAAAAAGGAGACTTCCTGCTCCCATAAAGACTTACAGCCTTGGAACCCCTACACAGGGCTGCTATGAGTCAGAATTGACCCCATTCCAGTGGGTTTGTTTTGTTTTGTTTTTCTGTAGTGTTGCTGAGTGACTTCAAACCACCACCATTTGTTGTTGTTAAGTGTTGTCAGTTCTGACTCATAGCAACCCTGGATAGGGTTTCCAAGGAGTGACTGGTGGGTTTGAACCACCGACCTTGTGGTTCAAAGTAGTGTACAAACCGTTGGTGGCACCCAGGGGTCTACTGCATAGTCAACTGTCATCTAGTCCCCTCCAATTCACAGCCACCGTATGTGTGTCAGAGGAGAACTACGGTCCGTAGGGTCTGCATTGACTGACTTTTCAGAAGTAGAGCAGCCAGCTTTGTTGTCTGAGGTGCCTCTCAGTGGACTCAAATCTCTAACTTCTTTGTTACAGCTGCTGTGGGCATTAACCATTTTCACCACCCAGGGACTCCCATTCCATGATAATAAGAACCAAGAGGTTCCAATGCTGAGATCTGCCTTAATGGTATGTATTGTAATTGAGGATGGCACAGGATGGCTCAGTGTTTCCTTGTGTTGTACACGGGGCTGCTATGAGTCAGAGCTGATGGAACTTAATGATTGTAATGGCATGAGTGCATTTTCAAACATAACTGTTTTGGTAGCATTTGGAGAGCTCATGGTCTTCTGTGCTCAGGAAACAGGGCAGGTGGTTCTTTTGCCTCTCCAGGCCCCACAAGGGATTTAGAGAGCAAGAGGGAGGGGCAAGAATGGGGCTTGGAGGAGGAAGAAGGAAAAGATCTTGGAGAAGACACTGAAACACTGCATCCCTGGGTCTTACCATGTTCCCTGGACACAGCAGCATCTAGGGAAGGTCAGCTGGATGGAAGGGAAAGGAAGCAGGGAGGGAGGATGGGAAGGAAGAAGGGTAAAACAGCCACAGATGAGTCTCATAAATAAAAGAATTCATGAACTCCTGGTGTGGCGTTGGAGGATCAGCACTGGACTGCTAACTGCAAGGATGGCGATTCAAACTCACCAGCCGCTCCTGGAAACTCTAAACATAGTCGCTATGAATTGGAACTAACTTGATGGCACTTAACAAAACAACAACAGTGACTGTAGATGGGTTAAATGCTCCAATCAAAAAGCAGAGAGTAGCAGAATGAATTTTAAAAGCATGGTCCAACTATTGCTGTTTACTAGAGACACACCTCAAACTCAAGGCCACAAGCTGAAAGCAAAAGGCTAGAAAAAAAAAAATGTTCCCTGTAAATAAAAACCAAGAGACCGCTGGAGTGACAATCTTATGCTAGACAGAGTAGGCTTTCATATAAATCTTTCAGACAAGAACAAGATGGACATTCTATAGTGATAAGTGTTAAGTGCTGTCGAGTTGATACTGGCTCAGTGACCCTATATAGGGTTTCTGAGGAGTGGCTGGTGAGCCTGAACCTCCAACCTTAAAGTTCAAAGTGACCTTGCAGTCCAGCCTCAAAAAGTTGGAAATAGAAATACTGTATGACCCAGCAATTCCTCTACTTGGTCTATATCCTCAAGAAATCAGAGCTGTGAGGTAAGTATCTGTAGACACACCCATGTTCATTGCAGCCTAATTCACCATAGCAAAACGATGGAGACAGTCCAGAATCCCATCAACAGAAGAATGGTTAAATAAACTTTGTACATACACACAATGGAATACAATGCCACACTGAAGAGTAATGATAAATCTGAGAAACATTGCATAACATGGATGAACTTGGAAGACATTATGCTGAGTGAAATTAGTCAATCACAAAAGAACAAATATTATTTAAGATCACTTGTAAAAAATTAAGAAAAGGTTTTCTTGCTAAAAGAAACATTTGAGGATGGTACAGGATTCTGTAGTGGTTCTCAGGGGCAGGAGGGAGGAGGAAAAGGGGTGGTGATGGTGATGGTGACAGAAGAATGACATTGATTAAGGGTAGGACTGCACAGCTGATGATTGTAATATCTGTTATTAAGTTGTTGGGGGTAAGGGTCATGGAGGCTGCATGAACCTGTAAAACTACTGTCCTGAGATCATCTTTAAACCTTAAACCAGACATCAAGGCTAGTGGGAGGGTCCCCTCAGGGAAAACCCCCTTCCAAGACTAAGGCTCAATGGAAATACATGCTCTGATTGGTGACCACGTTCGTCACCAATAAGGGGAAGTGCAATGAAGCGGTGAGCTAAGCCCTACAATGTTCAATAGACTCCTGTGAACCCGGGTGAAGACCTGATTGACCAGCAGTGTGGCAAGACCTGAGGACTCTTAGGCCCAGAGTCAGTGACATAGCCACAGAGGACTAGAGCGGAGAGTGAAGCGTCCAGCTGATAAGAAGAGAGGACATATGCATAAGAACATCCACACTTGCACATAATACCCACTTGACCTGGCTTCAATGACTGGATGATCAGAGCTCAACTAGAAGAAGAAAGAAGAGGAAAAAAAGAGTAATCTGATACAATTTGATGCACTTGACCTACACCTATGGATGCAGTAGCTCAAAAGAGGGAACAAATCTTTATAGCGAGGATCATTCCCACCCCCTCCATACACAGAGTAGACAGGGATGGGCAACTTAGACATTGGCTACCCAAGGGGGTGGTGGGAGTGGGTAGGGCTACAAAGGCAAGAAGTGACTGGCTTATAAGCTATCAAGAGGGAACCTAGATCCAGAGGGAGTGGAAGAAGGTAGAATCTCCACTGAGTAGTATCCAATCTGTCCAGGCGGGGCTGATGAAAGGAAATGTGGATGGGTTTCTTGTGATACAATAGTGAATAATTGCTATCAGGATTGGCTGTGAAGGTTGGAAATGTAAAGGAGGGGAGTGATTAACATTGCAGTCTAGGAGCGGAGGTCCCTGGGACCATCAAGGGAGAAGAGCAGAGAGCGGGACCCTACCCAGAGAAGCAGTGATGCCAGAGATGGAGGCAGAGACGATGACGTGGAGAGATGGAGCAGCTGGGGACTTTAGACCCAGAGAGGGAGAGGACCTGTGTGCTGAGGACCAGGGGGCAGGCTTGCAGGGTATACCCTTTGGTTGGTTGATGATGCATCGAGGGGACTGTAACCATGGCAATGAGACGATATATGATAGGATGAATGTAAAACTAATGTTCTCCCATGTAAACGATCACATAATTCACAATACAACATTAAAAAAAAACTTAAACCAACAGTGTCTCCCTAAGTCTTCTTCAAACCAAACAACAGTTTAACCAGCAAAAAGGTCTATCTTGAACATTTTAAGAATGATCTAAATAGGATCAAAGAGACAACAGCAACTCCAAAAGAGACCTGAGGGGCCAAAGAGTTTATGGCAATGAGGGAAGCACAACTTAGAAAAGGGGGGTTGCACAGCTCACATGACATTAGCAGTGTGATCAGTACCACTGAATTGTACATGTAGAGACTTGAACTGGTGTATGGCATGTTGTGTATATGCTCAAGAAAAGAAATAACATGTTGTTGTTGTTAAGTGCTGTGGAGTCAATTCTGACCCATAGCAACACTGTATAGGGTTTTTATGGAGCATTTAGAGAGGAAAAAAAAAAGAATCCACCAATTAACAAGGAGAAGCCCCAAAACATGGATACTCGGCAGGTTCCTGGTCAAGCTGCCGTGCCAGACAGGTTGATCCAAAGGTACCAAAAGACCTATCCATTGTATCTGAGAAAGCAGATAGGACTCTGGGCTAAAAACCAAACAAACCAAACAATCCAATCCAGAGACACAGGCGATTCATGAAGCTTAACAAAAACAACAAACAAGCTGCAAGTGTTCCAGGAATTAGCATTTTGTAGTTCCTGGGAAAGCAGTCCTGGGTCTGCTTTACCTCTGGGACTGTTTCCGTCCACATCCAAGATGGCTTCCTTGCCTCCTCCCTTGGATCCACCAACGCCCCACAGACAATACCTGGTCCAAGGAGCAGATCCAGGTGTTTCCAGGTGACCTGGGCCATAGCCCGAGCATGCGCCCATCCACCCAGGGTCTGAGCTGCTTTTGTTATTATTTCCTTTCTATGTAGGTTTGGGCCTTCCCTCACCCAAGGCAAGGACCCATGTCCTCCCCTCTCCATCATCACGGGCCCTGCCTGGCACAGAAGTCGTGCTTAAGAAAGGGCTTTGAATTGCCAGAGTCCTCAAGGACTTGGGGGGTAAGGAAATAATAATCCCACCATGCCTGGTTTTAGATTCCACTCTTAGGAGTCAATCCCAGCTCCTCTCAGCTTTTGGAGAGCACTGCAATTTCCAGGAAGAATAAAGAGTTTACTCCCGACTACCTCCCAGGTGAGATGGATTGGCAAAGTGGCTGCATCAATGGGCTCAAGCGTGGCAACCATTGTGAGGTTGGCCCAGGATCGGGCAGTGTTTCGTTCTGCTGTGCATAGGGCCACTATGAGTCGGTACCGACTCAATGGCACCTAACAATAACAACAAACCTTCCAAGCATGGTGTTGAGATTGCACGAGAAACAGGGCATTTACACCTTATTCCCAGCCTATCTCAGGGCTGGAAATGGAAGGCAAATTGGAGCAAGTAATCTTGATGCTGTTTAAGAATCTAGTCTACCCATTTAAAAAAGGAGAGAAGGAAAAAAAACAGTTCTTCCAGTTTTTAGAACTTGTATACTTTCCCCTTAGTCCTGCAAAACCTGTCCCCAAAGGAAGCTGGAGCCAGAGATCATTCCAGAGAAGTTGTAGGGATTTGTTTCCCATCCTCATGTGTCTTCCTAGAGGGGGGAGGATGGAGGATGGAGGGTCGCAAGCAATAATAATCCTCTGAGGTCTTAGCAGGGAGACTCATATAAGCTCCCTGGAATTGTGGTCTTGAGGTGAACCAAGGGGTTAAGGACTGAAGTATGTATGATCTGCCACCAAAACTCCTCACCCCAGGATGTAGTCTGTACCTTGGCACCATGGCAACAGAGCAGTCGCCCAAACACCGCCCTGTGTGAGGTTTTATAAGTCATGCATGTAACTGGAACATTTGGCAGTTCACCTTTACAAAGAGCTAAGTCAAGGAGCTTAGGGATTTCCACAACAATGTCTTTCCTAATTATCTTCGATGAGCTTTTTGAGTAAAAGGGGAAGACAGAGGGCACTGTGAGCTGGCCAGGACTTCTGGCCATGAAGCTTTCCTGGGGACATGTCAGCATCTGAATGTCTCTCATCCCCCGTATGTATGTCTAAGGGCAGGTCCCTCAGTGATTATTAATAGACTGTCTACCTACAGGCCACTGCAGGCCTGTGTTAGCTGCGCTGTTCTTAATCACCTAAGAAGGTACATGTGTGGCCCCCATTTTACAGGTGAGCAAACAGAGGTTCAAAGAGAGTAAATGGGCTGCCTAGTAATAGGGCTAGCTCCGTGCTTTACAGAACCCAGCGCAAAAGGAAAATGCCAGGTCCCTTGTTAGAAAATTATTAAGATGGTGACAACAGAGCCTTAAACCCAGGGTAAGGCCCTTCTGGGCCTGAGGTCCTGTGTGAAGTGACCCTGTGCTCAGCAACAGGAGGTCCGATTGGAAGCCGTGAAGCTGGCCCTGCCCAGCAACAGGAAACAGCCTTGTGCTGAGTGGCCTCTCTTTCTGTTCCCTCCAATGAGCCTTGGAGATACATGCCAGGTGCATATACCCCACCAGAGATCAAAGAGGCCAGGTACCTGGAGTAGCAGGAGAGGCCGGTGCTGATGATGGTGTTCACCACCGCCAGGGTCACGTAGTAGTCATGAAAGGTGGTGCATACCAGCGTGTCCGGGAAGGTGTACGCAGAGTAGGCAATGGCTGAGCCTGAGAAAGAAAGACCTGCTTGGGAAGAGGAGCTAGCACTCAACACCTCTGGCTCCTCTGAAAGATCATCCAGTACCCGGCCCAGCCCTCACTGTCCCCAACACCCAGCCCAGCCCTCACTGTCCCCAACACCTGGCCCAGCCTCTCTGTCCCCAACACCCGGCCCAGCCCTCACTGTCCCCAACACCCGACCCAGCCCTCACTGTCCCCATCACCTGACCCAGCCCTCTCTGTCCCTAGCACCTGCTCCAGCCTCTCTGTCCCCAACACCCGGCCCAGCCCTCACTGTCCCCAGCACCCAACCCAGCCCTTTCTGTCCCCAGCACCTGCTCCAGCCTCTCTGTCCCTAACACCCGGGCCCAGCCTCTCTGTCCCCAGTACCTGGCCCAGCCCTCACTGTCCCCAACACCTGGCCCAGACCTCTCTGTCCCCAGCACCCAACCCAGACCTCTCTGTTCCCAGCACCTAGCTCAGCCTCTTGGTCCCCAGCACCTGGCCCAACCCTCTCCGTCCCAACACCTGACCCGGTCCCCAGCACCTGGCCTAGCTCTTACCAGGCCAAAAGACCCACAGTCTTGCTTCTGTGTCCTTGTGTGTGCCATTCCCTATCCCAGAATGTCCTTCTCTCCCTTCTCCACCACTCAGATCCTATCCTGAGAACTTACTATGGGCCCTGCAGTGTTCCAAGGGCTTGGCAGATCTTAACTCATGGACTCCACATATACAACAACCCTCTGGCATAAATCCTGTACTTGTCCTCATTTTACCAGGGAGGCAATGGAGGCACAGAGAGGTTCAGTAATTCACCGAAGTCACACAGCTCAGAAGTAGGAGTTGAACTACAAACCCAGGCAGTTTAGGGACAGAGTCCTAAACTGTTGCTCACAATTACAGCCCTAGTGTGCTTGGCTTTACCTCAGAGTAGGGACATTTCACCTGCCCAACAAATCAGTGGGGGGGCTCTGTGTGGAAAGATCAGTATTGAAGGGGGGGACTTTGCCATTCTGAGGTATGACACATACAATGGGGTGACTGTAAGAGACTTCCTTCAGGTGTTTTGTTTTAGGTTTGGGAATTTGTGTGATAAGAGTCACCTAAGAACATCTAGAGACCTATTTGCTTGCAACTTCTGTTCGGAAGAACAGGGGCAATTGCAGTTAGTTCCAAAGGGCTCAGGTGTATTTCACCTGGAGTGAGGGGCTGAGGTTGATGCTCTCTAGGTGCCCTCACCTGTCTAGGTCCCCTCCAGGGAGGCAGCTGAGTCCTGTCTGCCCAGGGCCTGAGGAATCAGGCTAAAGTCACATGGCATCACAAGGCCCTCGAGGCTGCAGCAGGTCTGGGCCCAGGACAGTGCAGCCTCTGCCTTTCATCACTTGACAGATGAAGACTAGTGAAGGTGATGATGCTCTGAGGGCCATACAGGCCTGTAATGCCCTCTCTTTAGGGAGGTCCAGTGAGAACCAAGCTCTCCCCTCTGCCTGCTTAGACCTGGGAGCATCTGTCCTGTTACATGCTGGTGGTGGTTATGTGCCGTGCAGTCGGTTCCGACTCACAGTGACCCTTTATAGGGTTTCCGAGGCTGTAAATCTTTATGGGAGCAGAAAGCCTCATCTTTCTCCCATGGAACGACTGATAGTTTTGAACTGCTCACCTTGCGGTTAGCCGCCCAACTCATGACCACTACGCTACCAAAGCGCCTTAAACACTGGTCTAGGACTGGAAAACCAAATAGAAATGGCAAATTTCTTGTCCTCAGGGAGTGATTTGCAGCAGGGGAGCAGAAACAGAGGCAGCAGGGACCAGAGAAAGCCCTGGAACTTGGAGGAGGTCCCAGAGCAGGGGTCATGGAAGGTCCAGGGGTCGAGCCTTAAAGACCCTGCAGGGAGGAAGGAGGGCATACAGGGTCCAGAGAAGGAGGAGACTATGAATGGAGACTATGGTGAACAGAATAAAGGCAGTCCAGAGCAGGGCCAACAGTGTGAGTGTGTGTTCTAACCCTGGCTCTACCACCTACAAGCTGGGTGGTCTCCTATGCTCACATAGAGCATGAGGACAATAGTGGTACCTGCCGTAGAGGGTGGCTGTCAGGGTTGATGAGGTCATCAAGGTAATGAACACTCCCTCTGATGCTTACTAAATGCCAGGCACTGCCCTACATTCCTCCTGGACGTAAATTCATTCCAGTGTCCTAACAGCCCTAAGATGAAGCAGTCATGGTGATTTTTACGGATGTACAAATTAAGGTTTGGAGAGCGTTAAGAAAAGTGCCCACAAGCATACACTTATTAGGGGGCCTTGTCAGGATTTGAACCCAGGCAGTCCGGCTCCCGTCAGCACTGTGTTATGCTGTAATCAATGATGTATGCCAATACCACATGGTGTCTGCCACGTAGTGACTGCTTCAAAACTGGGTGTCCTTATCAGAGATGGCCCTGGGTAGAGATGATATGTGAGTAAGCAGCCAGGAGGAGGAGGTTGGACTTCATCCTAGACCATGAGGAAGGAGTCTTGGAAGGTTCTAAAGGGAAAGGTGGCCTGGTCAGAATGTTGTTGAAACCTTCTCTGATGGCTGTATGGAACACAGATGGAAGATTGGGAGGTGAGAGACAGGACAATGGGGTGGGCAGGCATGAGGATATTGTAGGGGGCTCAAGGTGCCCTGGTGGCTCAATGAGTTAAGAACCAGCTAACTGAAAGATTGGAAGTTCAAACCCATCACCCACTCCTTCAGAGGAGGAAATGACAATCTGCTTCTGTAAAGATTTCTAGACGCGGAAACCCTATGGGACTGTTCTAGTCTGTGTTGTAGAATCACTAGGAGTCAGAATTGACTTGGTGGCGGGGGTGGGGGGAGGGGGGTGGCAGGAGAGATCAGCTAGATTTGACCCTGATTGGCTAGAATGGTGGGAGTCAAGAGCGGTGAGGGAGGAGGGGCTTGAGGACTGTTTGCAGAGGTGAATCTTAGAAGACCAGGTAGGACATTACAGGAGAGGAGATCTGGGAAGGTGCCTCAGCCTCAGTCCCAATGGGGACCTCAGGCAAGTGGCTTAAACTAGAGATGGGGGCTTAGGAGCACCCTGCTCAGAGGTGTTAGAGAAGGGTGGGCAGAGGGGAAGAGGTCTTAGGGCTGATTCTCTACTCACCCACCTATAAGCAACAGTGGAGGAAGGGGAACCAGCAGAGGAGAATGAATGAGGAGAGGTGCAAGGAGGCCATAGGAAGTGATCAAGTCCCGGTGTGGCGCTAAAGGATAAGCACTGGACTGCTAACCTCAGCTGCTCCTCAGAAACCCTATGTTGTCAAGTTCTGTTGAATCTGGTTCAGACTCATAGTGACCCTGTATAGGGTTTCCAAATAGCGGCTGTTGAGTTTGAATTACCCACCTTGTGGTTCAAACTGGCCTTGCTGTTCAATGCTTTATCCCACAGCACCACACCAGGACTCCTCAGGGTCATTATGAGTCGGAACTGACTCTAAGGCACTTAATAACAATAAGAAAAAAAGAGACAGAGAGAGAGAGAAAAAGAAAGGAAGACAGAAGGAAAAGGAAAGGACAGGGGTAGAGAACTGAGGGCTCGTGGGAGATAGCTGAAGATGAAAAGCCTGCATTGATTCTGACAGCCCAGAGGAGGTTGGGACCTCTGCAGCCATAAATCCAGTGAACTGTGGTCCAGACCGTGGACGTTAGAGTCATGAGAGGTAAGGTGACAGGATGTTATTTTTATTATTAATTGGTGCTGAGTTGTTTCTGACTCAAACCCATAGTGACCCTGTATAGCATTTCCGAGGAGTGGCTGGTGGGTTTGAAGTGCTGACCTTGTGGTCAGTTCAATGCTTATCCTACAGCACCACACCAGGACTCCAGGTGACAGGGAAAGTGTAGTGTATGTGTGTAGTACATGTTTGTATGTGCATGTGTTTAGGTGTATGCATATATATGTGTGTGTGAAAAAGAGACTTTCAATACACTGGCCCCTCCTTGTGGACAGCCTCCTGAATATCCAGAGCAGGAACCAGAGGAAGGAAGAGGCTATAGACCTCGGATGCTGAGGGATAGATAGATGCCCACAAGTGGGAGGAGAGAAGAGGGGGCAGGGGAAAGGGACATCAGAACTGGAGGAAAAGACAAGAAGGCATGGGGTGTGCATACCCAGCCTATCAGCTCTGGGTTCACCACTCAATTCCTGTGTGGTGAAAAGGCCTTTGAGCAAATCTCTTAATTCCTCTAAGTCCCTGGGCATGGCATTCCGAATCCCATCTGACTTCTCCACCTGGCCGGATGAGGGCTGGAGTCATTCATCTTGGACTACGAGAGCTGGCTGTTAAAGTTCCAAAAATCTTACAAGCCAGTTGTTACAGAGCCATTATTAAAAGTTAAATCACATAAGCTCACATTAAATAAATTACATTCATAAAAGAAACACTCAATTTGCTTCTATTATATCTGTACAGTGCAATCATACTGCAAACATCTTCTCAACTCCACACTCAGTGATGTCCCAGCCATGGTGGAAGTGTTTATACCAGAGATATGAGCAAACACTGTAAATCGAGGCCAGCGGTTACCCACTTACCAGCAACTCTGTGGAGAAACACTCACCTAGACAGGAGCCCCGATATTCCCAGGACTCTTCCACAAACCCCACAAGGCCCATGGTACCCCAGCTCAGAGAAAGCGGAAGGCGAGAGCGGAGCCTCACGTACCCAGGCTGAAGAGGTTGACGGCACCATAATCCAGAAAGTAGCAGATGTGTCTGGCATTCTTGGACATAGAGCTGAAGGTGTGTGCACAGCTGGATGCAAAGGGGTACACACAGCTGGTCCCCATGTACACAAGCAGAGGCCAGGAATAGCTGTCATTCTGGATGTCTGTCACATATAGTATGGTCACAAATCTCCACATGAAGAACCTGGAACACGGCATGGTCACACTCAACCTCTGTGGCCCGCGGCGGCTCTTAGGCTTCTCACCTGACTCTCTTTTGTTTCCCATACCCCTGAGATGACCAATCCCTACTTGCTCCTTTGAACTTGGGAGAAATAGACAGAAGAGACATAAAAGAGCCTTTAAGGCGCTCTTCACATACACTCCTCAGCCTTGAAGCTCACATTAAGTAACCCCAGTCCATTCAACCATTCGACATTTGATCTGAATTTGACCTCTTACCATCCTTGTGGTTTGTCCTTGTCCCCTTTAGCTTGCCTCTGTCCCCCTTATAGGAAGGCTTCTCCAACAACAGCAATGCCTCTAGGGTCTGGAGAACCTAGAGGAATCTTCAACTGCCCCTTCCTTCCACAACATTCCTTACTAAAACTAAGGGGCCAAGTCCCACAGCAGCCTCAGAGCTGAGCACAGATTTCTGGACTTCTCTCTATGTAGAGATACTGCAGAGATCTGCATCAGATCTGCCTAACCTATAATGCATGCCTGGGGGGTTCTCGCCTGCAGAGCTTCTGCAAACTAGAGAATGGCTTTCCCTCTCCCACTAACTCCTCCAAAGAAAAACTCTATATAGCTTTCTTCAAAGGAAGTGAAGGAGCACTGCTAAATTCTCTGACTACACTAAAGGGGTTTTTCCTTCTGGCCCAGCAAAAATAAAGCTTACACTACCTGCTGTTTCTTAAACCATATTCTTTTCTTTTTTTCAATGCTTTATTGTAAATTATGTGATAGTTTACATGGGAGGATATTAGCTTCACATTGATCCCATCATATACCGTTTCCTTGCCATGGTTACAATCCCCTCCATGCATCATCCATCAACCAAAGGGTATACCCCGCAAGCCTGGCCCCTGGTGGTCCACACACAGCCCCTCCTCTTCCCCTCCGGGTCCAAAGTCCCCAACCGCTCCATCTCCCCAAGTCATCATCTCTGCCTCCATCCCTGGCATCACTGTTTCTCTGGGTAGGGTTCCGTTCTCTGCTTTTCTCCCTTGATGGTCTCAAGGACCTCGGCTCCTAGACTGCAAAGTTAATCACTCCCCTCCCTTGCCACAAAATGTCTACATTTGCATTTCCAGCCCTCACAGTTAGTCCTGATAACAATTATTCATTATTGTATCACAAGAGGCCTATCCGTATTTCCTTTCATCAGCCCCGCCTACACAGATTGGATACCACTCAGTGGAGATTCTACCTTCCTCCACGCCCTCTGGATCTAGGCTCCCTCTTGAAAGCTTGTAAGCCAGTCACTTCTTGCCTCTATAGCCTCCCCCCCACCCCCCGATTCTGGGTAGCCAATGTCCAAGTTGCCCATCCCTGTCCTCTCCATGGGTGGAGGGGGTGGGAATGATCCTCGCTGTGAAGATTTCTTCCCTCTTTTGTTTGAGCCATTACTTCCATAGGTGTAGGTCAAGTTCATCAAATTGTATCAGGTTATTCTTTTTTCCCTATTCTTTCTTCTTCCAGTTGAGCTCTGATCATCCAGTCGTTGAAGCCAGGTCAAGTGGGTATTATCTGCAAGTGTGGGTGTACGTACGCAGATGCCCTCTCTTCTTATCATCTGGACGTTTCACTCTCCACTCTAGTTCCTCTGTGGCTATGTCACTGACTTTGGGTCCAAGAGTCCCCTGGACTTGCCACACTGCTGGCCAACCAGGTCTCCACCCAGGTTCACAGGAGTCTATTAAACGTTGTAGGGCTTAGCTCGCAGCCTCATTGCTGTTTTCCCCTCACTTCCCTTTATGGCTGATGAACGTGGTTACCAATCAGAGCGTGTATTCCCATTGAGTCTTAGTCTTAGAAGGGGGTTTGCCCTGAGAGGACCCGACCACTTGCCTTGAAGTCTCCTGGGCAAGCAAGTTGTTGTTCTTGTAGTAATCAGTCAGTCTGCCTCTATTGTTTTGTATTTTTCCTGTCAGTCTTTCTTTCAGAAAGTATCTTCTGTTCTTCTGGCTGCTCCAGGCTGGTCTGCTTGTTGTTTCAAGTGGAAATTTCCCCTTAGAAGATTCTGGATGCTGTTCAAGATTCCACCTATGGTCTTGTGTAATACAGAGGCTCCTCAGGAAACCTCCTTCACTGGGCACACTGTAGCCCCATTTTAGGTATTCCAATCAGTTAGAGGCAGATGACAGACTTACAAGCTTTACATGGTGGTATTCCTGGCTATTCCTTTCTCTCCCCCTCCAGTGTCTATTTTATAGTGGTACACCAGGGAAACCAAGATTCAAAAGACAGCCAAGCATCCTAACATTCCCCTCTTTTCCCTCTTTCAAGCCATGCCTCAATCCCTGTATCCTGAAGCCCTGTTATTGCAGGGTTGTGCATACATTGTCATTTACCTCTGTCCCACCTAG